TCCTTTTCACACCACGCACGCGCACACGCACGCACGCACAATCCAAGTAAACAAGGAGATAGAGTATGATGATGTTTGGAAACATCTACTGCTACGATATGAATTGGTGGGAAATGGAACAATGTCTCAGAGGTTAAGAGCACAGTCATCGCTCTTCTAGAGGATCTGGGTTTCATCCCCAGCACCCACACAGTGGTTCACAACCTTGTATAACATCTCTTCTAGTCTCTGTGGGCTCCAGAAGTGGTGCATAGATGTACCTACAGGCAAAACACCCAAGCACATAGACATGAAGTAAAAGAGAACATTGTCAAAGGACACTAATTCTCCTGAAGTTAAGCCTGTCCTTTCCCATGAGATCTCAGTCAGCATCCAGGCAGGCTTTTTCCTTTTTGTTTGTTTGTTTGTTTGCTGTTATAAACATTGGCAAACTTATGGATATTTTTTTTTTTTGGGAAATAAAAAAAGACCTCAGTTTTTCAGAGAATTTTGAGAAAGCAAGGTTGGGTGAATTACTTAAAGACTGACTCTATTGGTAAGTCTTGATTTGCTGATTTATGGATAGAGATAATAGAATGGAATAGAGTCTAGAAATGTACTATAAGTAAGTAGTCAGTTGATTATCTTAGTCACAATGGATATTATTTTCTGTAAGCGACAGGACACAATCGATATCCCTATTTTTAAAAAGAGTGCTATTAACATACATATGTAAATGTTAAGAGTCACAGAGTAGCTGCCTCTTTAGTAACATGTATATAGCTATATGTTTACATGCTGTTTATAAATATTATATATGATGGACACACATTTATTAAGAGCAGAAGAGCATGCATCTAAACTCTAGATTAAAGACACGCTATTCGTATTTCAGACACTCCACAACATCAAATACAAACATCTTAAGAGCTTTGCAATGAACAGGCTACATATAAAACCACATCTGTATCAAGTATTTTAAAAGAAACTACAGATTGCTGGTTCAATCGAACAAAGCCTTTGAATTGTAAAGGGAAAATTATTTTATTTCCAACCTGAAAATCCTGTACTAAAGAGAGGGAGAGAAACACATTAGATTTAGGCAATCAGAGAGGCCAGTCATAGAGAAACAGTGGGCAGTACTAAGACTGCAATTATACAGTAAGCCAAAAGCACCATAGGTTCTGGCGAGTTTGGAGTCCACCTGGCTGTGGGAAGCCAAGAAGGGAGGGGGAGGCATGTCAAAGACCTGAGAATGGGTTGGGATTGCAATGTTTAGAACTATTCTTACTAGGTGTGAGACATCTGTAGTTGGAGAAGGAGCCCTGGGCACAGTTCCACAAAGATGAGTGAAAGATAAAAATGCAGTTTTTAAATAGGAAAACTTGAAAACTGTACAAGAACTGAAATGGAATTGAATCCTGCCATAGAATAGTATACTATGATTAATATCTCCATTAATAATGGACATTTCCATTTTATAGCATTAATTTGAAATTGTCTTGTAACATGAAATCAAAGGAGGCCTGAGAGGATGTTTATAGATGCTGAATCCTTACCAAAAGGCAATGTATCATCTCTAACACTGTTGGACAAAGAAAAATATGTACATTGTTTACTAGGATATAATCATGAGACGTTGGAAAACGTTGCTATGGAAATTATGATTAGATTATGAGGGACAGACAGGAAAGGCTTAATGTATTTCATTTCCGTGATTTTAGTTTTCTTTACAAATGGGTGTGTTTAGCTGGTAAAAATAAAAATAATCATTAAATTAAAAAGAAAATAAACATGCTGGAGAGATGATGACTCAGTGGTTCAGAGCACTTGCTGTTCATCCAGAGGACGCAAGTTTAGTTCCCAGCACTCACGTGGTGGCTCACAATCACCACCTGTAAGAGATGTTCCTACCTCAGACCTATCTTCCTGTTCCATCATCTCATACTAAAGATTCCATATGTTATACTACTTTCTACCCCCCACCATTCTTTTACACTGCAGAATCTGTCCCAATCTATAGTATATTGCTAGCAAATGGAGTCCCTGTCCTTCCAGACACGTGGGAACCATGATGTTTTGTTCTACATGGTGTCAGTTTCAGCATTGTATTGGTACCTGCTGTTCCTTTCGATAAATATATATTCAATAAATGAGAGCAGGAAAAGAAAGGGTAGAATATTTCCAGAGCAACTTTCTTTGAGATAGAACAGTACTCTAGTAAGACTTTGCAGAATCCAGAATGTCACCCAATATTGCTTTAAAGTGGAGATGAAGAGGTGATGAAATTGAGTTTATGCTTCTAAAACTCAATTTTAAAAGTTAATTACTGACATCCTTATTGATCTCACTGGACACAGGATGAGATGAAGAGGGAGGGCTAGCATGTTGGAAAATGACTCAATGACAAAAATGGAAGAAGAATGAAAGCACATTAAATAGGTTCCAAAAAAGAGGGGGGCTAGGAAATGAGCCGGCATCAGTTAAAAAGTTGTGACAGTTGATGTTGGGTGTCACCTCGACAGTATAGAGAAGGACTAAGAACGTCGTGAGGGGTCATCTAGAATAGGTCAGCCTCCAGCATGGCCTTCGGGGTTAGATTAACTAGGTTATATTAACTAGGTTATAATAACTGGGGGGGGGGGACCCACCCTAAAATTTGGTAGTACCACTCCTGGGGCTTGGGCACATAAAAAGGAGAAAAAATGGTGAAGAACCCTGTTCATGGCTCTCTGCTTCCTGGTTGTGGGGCTGTGTGACCTCCCGCCACTTTACCTTCCCAGACAGGCTGCACTGTAAACCGAAATAAACTCCTTCTTCTCCTGAATTGCCTCTGTCAGGGCATTTCATTACAGCAACAGTGTGTGTGTGTGTGTGTGTGTGTGTGTGTGTGTGTGTGTGTGTGTGTGTGTGTTTGTATACTAATATATAAATATGTTACTATATCCAGTAAACTGGGGAGTTACAGAGGTTAGACGTCAAGAGCAGTAGCATATATCCATATTTCCGTTAGGTTGACGTGGTATAAAGGATGCTTAAAGTAACATGGAGAAAATATGTTAAAATAAACAGGACACAGGTATCACAGGATCCAGTACAATAAAGCCAACACCAGGGTTGGTGGGAGATGACCGAACTGTTTCACGGTGGACTAGGCTTGCAATGTGAAGTGTGTGCTGAGTATTTATTAGTTAGTAGACTTACTCGATGAATGTCATCATTGTTTCTACAGTAAGAGAAAATGAGCGAGCCGTTAGGTAGTGTCGCATCTTGCGGCACACTTACCTGTAGAAACATATTATTTAAACTGTTTTCGTCGAAAAGTATTTTCTTATGTTTTAATGCTCCCATGGAAGACTATGTTCTACCCATGTATTAACATCTACTTTCCAGAAGTAGAACAATGAATACCTGGTTTTCAAAAATAGATATTATCCCCCAGTATTTTAAAATGGCTCATCATGCCTTAGATCACTTTTGTTTAAAATGATTTATAAAATTTACATTATGAAATAATTGATTGTAATGCGTGTGTGCATCAAATAGGATCCACAATTTGGGCTT